TCGTAAAAATGCAACTCCAATCACGCTCTCTATCCATCTCCTAAAATAGGGAGTCCTCTAGGAACTCCTAAATCTGAGGAGAGAGAAAGGACTCCTAGTGGCTCTCTATAATTTAATGAGTATTTCAAACCTATATTTAATGCTAACTATTTTTTATTTTATTTTTTAATAGAGATGGACCAATCAAAAAAGAGTTATAGCATTTATGACTCTCCAAATTAAGGAGTATGATTGGAGTTAAATTTTTTTAGAGAGCTCCTAAAATAGCTTTTTTATATTTTTAGCCAAATTTTAGCTAAGAAATAGAGAGCATCATTGTGGATGCTCTTAAACTACGGAGTACACTTGGAGTTGAAATTTTATGGAGAGCTCATAAAATAGCTTTCTAGTGTTTTTAGCTCAATTTTAACTAAAAAAAAAGAGTATAATTGTAGATGCTCTAAATAAATAGTGTTTGGCAAAACAATAAACGCATTAAAAGGGTATTCACAATATAACATAAAGATATTGTCCTCAAGAAAAAAAGGTGGCTGGCGTAGGAAATTTAAATAGCAAAATCTTGGTGTAGGAAATCCAATACATTTTTTTATGCAAATGAAGTGATACTAGGGGACGAGAGGAATTCGAAACCTCGGGTGGGAAATGCGGTACTTCAAGTTTGGGGACTATTAGGGTTTTTGGCTAAGCAAAATTAACATACATATTTAGGGTAATCACTTTTGTTCTAGTTCTTTCTCGAATCCAATTTTATCATACACACACACACACACAAATATATATGGGATCCCTCAAATATTTTTATTTGAGGGACACTTTTAAGGTACCCTACAAATTTATTTTCAATGATCCAAATTTATGTTTTTGGTCTTCATTCATAGATCATTCATACAAAAAATTAGACAAATTGAAAACTGTTTAGACATCTAATTGTGTCCTACAAAATCAGTAAACATGATGCTTCAAGAAAGTACTAAAATTTCAATAATTTAATTGAGTGATCAAATGATATCAGATTAAAGTGATAGTCTAAACTACAGGGGAGGGAGATTTTTTTTTTTTCTCTCTCTCTCTCTCTCTCTCTCTCTCAACTATGATCCTGTAGGGATTCGAACTTGAGACCTTTGATCTGCAAATTAAGGCTCTTTTCCATTGGGTTAGACCCCATTGATAGAATTGTACGTAAAATTCTTAATAAAAATGAATGAGCACATAATATAATTAGCAATAAGGCCACACATGCAACTTTATCAGACAAAAATAGGTATTCTCAATCGCCAACAAAGGTGCATGGATTTGTAGTGTTACCATAAACAATTTAATCAATTACATATTTTTAAACTGTCACATACATATAATACCAAATCCATGTGTATGTTGCTTTTGTCGTTCTGTTCCTTTTTTTTATATTTTCATTCGTGTTCCACGTGGTTATTTCTATAAATCAAACAAAACTAACCACGTGAAATTGAAATTTGAATAAAGAAAAATTGTTCGCTACTTGCAAAAGGAAATTATTAAATGATTAGCTAAGAGAAATCCAATATGGAAGGAACTGTGATATGTGACCATGTTGGAAAATTCTGGTCGTTGAGGTGATCATGAACTCTCAACTGCTACAGTATTAATGTCCTCATCCCCACTTACAAGCAATGCCACCCCTTTGCTGAGTTCTCTCTAGCCACACTACCCACCTGTTTTCATATACCTAATAAACAAACCATTAAAAAATAATATAAGTCTCCACCTGTCTATACCTTAAAATTAAATGGAAGAATTTGATTTACTCACCCATTTTATAGGTAAGCTAGCAGGCTAGCTGCATCTGCCTTCGAACTTGAAGTCAGTTCGCTTTCCTTGAGGGTGAGGTATGTTTGTATGTATATGGTTTTTCCAATACGTGTTTGCATGACAACAAAATGAGTAGATAGCAAAGTAAAAAATAAAATATACGTAAAGTGCCTTGCAAGTTATACGAGACTTGTTATTTAATTGCCCGGGTGTGTAACACCTGGCAGCCTAAAGCCAATCAGGCGGAGACATATGTTCGATTGGATAAATTCGTTCTTTTACTTGGTCACCCGATATGAACCACAAAACCGAGAGTTTTAACTAAGAGAGCATGTAGTATTTGATGTGTGTGAGATAACAATTGGTCGTGTGTGATGAGAGCAGTAGAGAATGTCACAGTTACGGATTCATGAATTTTTCTTAATGGGGTCAAGATGTAGACCCAATTGCGGCATGAAAGCAATTAGTTATATAGAGACAAATTATAGATGTGTGTGTATGACTTGATTAGTTTCCTAAACATATCTCACACACCGTTCATATACACATCAAACAACAAAGAAGATGGGTCCAACAAGTTTGAGAGTACCAAACCTTGCACAGTTGATCGGCAGCCCCACATCCCTCTTTGCCCTACCTTAACCTCTCTCAGAGATGACTTTTATCAAACAGTTTGCTCTCATAACACATTTTCTCAAAAGAGCATCAATGAAACTTCACCAGTAGACAAAGGGCGAGTAGAGACAATAATCTTCGATCGCCCTCAAGCGAACCAGCCATTAAAAGATGGGGTATTAGATTAGGATTAGGATAAATATAGTAAGAAGATACATTATTAATTGCCACCTAATTTACTTAATTTGGTCCGGACATGTATATATATGACGCATCTGTAGCTTGTATTTTGGTGAACACACACATGCAATGAAATGTGGAGTTGAGTCATTGAAGGAAAAGGGTCCACTTCTTGGAACTATATGCATCTAAGTCAAACTAAGCCAAGAGCTATAAGTCAAGGACCAAGAAATTGGATAATTAACTACCCCCAGTCTATAAGGTCAAGCTTAAATTTGCTGTTAGATGTCGGGCAATATCATCCACCAGATTGCATCAACTAGACCACATCATCCAGTTTAGTTATTTATCCAATGAGTTAACATAAAACTTGGGTTTTGGAATTGAACTATATTCCAAAATGAAGCATGCGTGGCAGATATGTAGCACTTAACAGTACGTGTTAGTATAAACTTAACTCATACATCTATGGTCCGTGCCAAAAGTGGTAAATCATTTCTTGTGAGCTGGTTTGCTAAGATCTTCACGCATATAGATCTGTACGAGAGAATTGTCTGGGCGTATTGATGTATTGACACATGCATGCATGCTTAGTTATCAACAAGATTTGCTAGGATTCAAGAATATTGGATAGTTATGTCTAGGGATGAGGATGAGGACTTCCATTGGATAATAGAAAATTGTGATAAATGGTATGCTTATTAAGTAATTTACAAGGAGATGACCTTGGAAAATGATTATCGATCAATAAATTATTAATATTATGTTTACTGATTACATTCATCTTACATCTTTCATGAAAGTAACACTAAATGACACGCGTGTCAAATGTGAAAGTGCTAAAGTCAAATGCATACGTTGACAAAAATTCAAGTTCTCCTCTTCGGAAATGAATGAATCCACGGCATTCTGCAAAATGATACTTTGAAAATTATGGACGGCTTCACTATGAAGGTTATAATGTTCTCAAGCATGCTTCTAGACGTATAGAAACGTGGTCAAGTTGATGCACAAGAATTTTCCAGTTCCCCAAATGCGAAGGTGGTGTTGACTGATCGGCCGCAACAAATTTTAGCAAATTTTTTTCTCTAGTTTTTTATTCAATAAATACTGTTCACTGTGACTAGGAGATCCGTGGCCCTTGTTCATACGGATCTGTTTAGAACTGATGTTTTAGGTTTCACTGATTCATTTTTTATCTACAACCTAAAATCTAAGTGGAGAAGGTTCTTATGGTCCAACTTTATGTGCAAATAATATATACAGAAATGAGCTAAAATAGTTATTTTTCAGAATATTTATTCCAAAATAGCCATCTTTGTAATAAAGAGGCGATATACTACCGTAATATTCTATAATTTCCCACAAAAAATGTACGAGCGAGGATAACAAAGAGACACTGCGAGGGAAAAGGCTATTATTGAATAAATGTTTTGAAAAAGGGCTGCATATTTTAGCGGAAAAGTCCGTAATTATTTATATGTATACGTTGATACACGTTCTCCTTGGAATATATACAGTTGTTCTTTTATTTGACACTTAAGATTTTCTCAAGAGTTAAAAATTGTGGCTTAGGAAGGTCAAATAATCATAGTCCACTGAATGACATCGAACCCAAATTCTAGGAAACGCTAGAGATTTGTCAGGTGGTGGTATGCCGTAATTGGGCAGTTGAATGAGCATGCACATAGAAAAAGGGGCTCATTATGGGTTCAGAAACTAGAGCCACTTGGCAAGTCATCGAACTTGCAGAAGAAGATGACACAATATACACACACACACATTTAGGTGGGTAAACATGATTTCGTCGACATAATCAAAACTCATCTGAGTGCCTAATTTTCCCTTAATTAACAAAATCAAGAATTAAAACAAAGCACTTAGAATAGATTCACAGATCAAAACCCCCATGTTGTTTATGTAAAGCAAGATTAATTGGGCTCAAAAGAGCAACACCGGATCATACTCCATCAAGATAAGGACACGTAGACGTAGTGATGACGAAATGGATGATGGAATGGTTGAGTAAGAGTGCAATCAAAGGGCAATGGGTTTGTGTAGGAAAATGGGAAGAAATTTTTTGGATGCTTATTACATATATGTAGAGCTCGCTCTCTCTCTCTCTCCCCCTCTCCCTTTAGGTCACCTATCTTTCACCATCACCCATTTTCTGAGCCAGACACACCTTAACACAATGTGGTTCCTACATCCCTTTCACAACCCAATGGTGGACCCCAAAATCTCTCTCTCTCTCTCTCTCTCTCTCTCTCTCTCTCTCTCTCTTTAAAATATTATAATGTGTGTGTAAATTGATAATTAGTTTTATTGGACTTGACATGAGGATGGGAAAGGTGAGGACTGACGACTTTATATAAAGGTGGGGGTGGGGCTTTTGGGTCTTTAAAAGGAGTATTGGTGAGCCTAATTGAGTGCTTGGTGCTTATTTCCGGTCAGATTTTGTTTGTATATTTGGTGGTGCGTTTTGTTAATTAGTACTAGCTAGCTAGTGGTATGGGACGGCAACCTTGTTGTGACAAACTTGGGGTAAAGAAAGGGCCATGGACAGCTGAGGAGGACAAGAAGCTCATCAACTTTATTCTCACTAATGGCCAGTGTTGCTGGAGAGCTGTGCCTAAGCTCGCCGGGCTTCGCCGGTGCGGCAAGAGTTGCAGACTCCGTTGGACCAACTATCTCCGGCCCGACTTGAAGAGAGGCCTCCTTACTGAAGCTGAAGAACAGTTGGTTATTGATCTCCATGCTCGTCTTGGAAATAGGTCATCCTCATCTATTCATATATTTCTGTGGTCTTGATTCATTTACATGGATACATGTTAATCATGACGTTAGTGTTTGGGAGCATATTGATCCGTACATGTTAATGATTTTACTAATGGTGTTTGGTGGTGAACAAGGTTGTTTCATCTTCATAATAATTTAAATTATTTATTTTTCTTTTTCCTTGAGGTACAAGCTTGGTTTCTACTTTCTTGTTTTCAGTCATAAAGTTGAAAAGTATCATATATGCATTCAACAAGACAAAGAAACTTTGGTTGACACGTTTTTAAAATAAATGGTCCTTCAATTTCTTGGTAGAGCATATATTTGTTCTTTTTTTTATATTCAAAGAATAGTAATTCAACGTGTACCATATTTACTAATCATATTACTCATCACATTTTTCATAATACGTGACGTATCGTCTCCGTAACAAATTGTATACCCCTCAAGATTTTACCTGCTTATAGACTTATGCTAGTTCTCTGATTAATTACATCCTAGCATTTAATTAGTTGATAACTTATGAGCATGATTAAGCTTATGATCACTAGTGCAAGTTTTACTAACATATTGGCTATGCTCTTGTTTTGGGTATATAAAAATAGGTGGTCCAAGATTGCAGCCAGATTGCCAGGGAGGACTGATAATGAGATCAAGAATCATTGGAACACCCATATCAAGAAAAAACTGCTTAGGATGGGAATTGATCCTGTCACGCATGAACCCCTCCACAAAGAAGATCAGTTGGGGTGCAGCAAGGAAACCAACTCATCATCATCATCCCATGATCATAAAAATAACTTGCCAGATCATCAATCTACAAATGATCATAGCATGGTCGCCAACTCAGCCGGATCGGAGGACATGAACTCATCAAGCTCACCCCCAGAAAACTCTTCCTCCGGCGACGAATCAACGCTGCTAGATAGCATTTGCAACGACGAGTCGTTGATGAAGAACCTGTGGGTGGATGAAACTCCTCTGATTGATGCATTGTGGAGCAACAATGGTCAAGTAGTAGCAGATCACGGAGGCAACGAGATTAATATTGAGAATGGCATGGGGTTGCAATCTTGGGAGGACAATTGTGCATGGCTTTTGGATTGCCAGGACTTCGGTGTTCATGATTTTGGCATGGATTATTGCTTCAACGACGTCGAATTAAACGGTCTCAGCACATTAGAGATGGGAGATAAATTAAGCACTACTATAAATTAATAAATATAATTAATAGCATGCAGTTATGATATATTAATGTGAAGAGAGAGTAGTGTTTAATTCAAATGTGCTTACATGTTACAAAGTACCATGTCTGCTGCCTCACTTTTAAGTTCTTTTGCTGGTGTTGAATATTCTTGGAAGGTCGAGCTTCAAACCTGCTTTCTGATGAAGAGGTCTCTCACCAACCCAAGAAACAGCCATACCAAACTACCTAAGAAAATGTCACGTAAAAGTTAGGGACAGGTTGGACAATATTGTAAAAATGTAATCATATTACTGGGTTTTGCTAAGACGAAACTTTCTGTACATTAATTATTTTATGCTGAATTAAATAAAGCAAAATGGTTCATTTGTTATATATGATTCTATTTGCTGAGAGATTATTTCATAGCTCGTTCAAGTTTTACCAAATTTTCGTATTAGAAAATATTATATAGTTAGACCGGCTTGAATTAGGTCAATTGACCTAGGCAGTGTGCCCATTCCTTGCACTCGATTTAAATTCCCCCTCCTATAATTTAGAAAATGACTTTAGAAAGAAGCTAAATGCCTAGAATCAACCATATATATATATTCTTTGAGAAACATTACAATCACCAGAAACAATAAATTATGGCAAAAGAAGACGAACCATCCTATCCCCAAATTAATGTTACCCCTTGCAAGTAATGGGATACTTAAGTTTTCTTTTTCTTCTTTTGGTGTTAAAAATTAATTGAAAGTGTTCAATATATATAATACAATGGCACCACTACTTTACATTATTCTGCTGAAATCCAATTAGCCACTTCAAAAGTGGCCATAAATTTTATAGGCTACGGGGATATCATGTCGGCAAAATGAAATCCTAAGCACACTTTTTGTGGTGCCACTATCAGCTACGTTCTTGTGATTTTATTTGCAGATAGATAAAAATTGAGTGCGCACTAGCTTATTCATTGGAGCTCCCTTTTAAATCTTGTCACCCTGTCATCATTGTAGGGATCTTCCCCTCTGAAAAAAGGAAAAGTAAAATATTCAGGTAGCTAAGTTATGAGTATGTAGAAGCTAACTATTTTGTACTTCTAAGCATTAATATAATCATAGCCATGGAATCTCTCATCTCTATCTGAATGCTTGATCATATATGCCCATCATCAGCTTTGGTTTATTGGGTATAAATTATAATTGTATAGTCTGCAAAGTCACATTACCAATTTGTGAGAATGTGAAGGTAAAAATCCCCTCCATTGTCAATTAGTTTTAGGATGAAACCTTAACTTCTTTCATAATTAATCTCATAATTAATTCAACCACTAGATGAGATCAATTTTTTTTGAGTACAAGTAATAGTGTAGAGGGGATTCATTCTAAACTACATGAGATGAGGATTCATACACACACAACTATGATGTTGTGGTGATTCGAACATGAGACATTTAGTCTGCAAGTCAATGCCTTTTTTTCACTGGACTAGACCCGATTGGCCAATGAAATCAATTTAAAGTAGGCGTTTGAAAGTTTTTATTTTATTGTTGTAGATTAGTTTTTATGGCGCAGAAGTTAAGTAGGGAGGAAGTAATAGATATTTACAAAGATTAACCCTTTAGGATTTGAATACCAATTCAAACAATAATATTAAATTTTTCTATCCCAACACTTACCAAACTAAAAACAAAATTTTTGTGGTTTTTTTGTTGTTGGAGTTTTGTGTTCTTCGACAAAACAAAAAAGAGTTTTGTGATAGGGCATATCGAAATGACTCACATGTAGACACGGTACCATATATATATACTCAATATTAGTAATGCATGCACCAACTTACGTATCTAAGTATTACGTGGTCCTCTACAATTTAATTGGATTAAATTACCAAATACAGTATATAAAGTCAGCATAAATTAAATTAATTTTCCGCATTAGATGATGATTTAGACTCAGCAACTCTATTATCTATATCTGCAATCATGACTAAATAGCTAGTTAACGATTAGCCCTTGAATTCAACAGAAGCACTTGTCAGTAAGCACTAAGCATTTGTCTTAGACCTTATTGAAACACGAAAGACATGCCTGTCTAAAATTTCAACGAGTTGGTGATTTACAAAGAGTTTACTACATATCACTTACATAATCATGATGTCAATGTGAATAAGTTTCTTAAGAAACAAGTTAAAGGGAATACCTGGTACTGTTATCATTAAGTAATCACACCGTCAATGAGTTAAGTAATCTACACAATCTGGATTGCTATACATATAGGTACGAAATGCTTGTGGTCGTCCTAGTCCTAATAGCTTGATAATTATTTAATGTGATTTAACATGTTAGGTTGTACTTTGCTAATTGTTTTTAGCTTTCTTTGACAAATTTGTAATCTCATATGTAATCAGTCATACTCAATCAAGATGGTTCTGTGACTCAACTTGTGACTCAAATTTGTAAATACTAAAATCCTTTTCGACCACCCATGCTAAAGCCTTGCAAAAGCCTCAACTTGTGAAGCCGAATACACATTGTCAAAGCGCCTCACCTTGCTAAAGGCCCTCCTCTTTTGTACCTATCCATATTATGAATTAATTGATAATACTATGTGACTCCGTCATTGATAATTAATTAATGGTAAGAATCGAAGTCTTGTTGTCTATAAAGGATAGAGTAGTGCTAGGTATACCATATTTACATACTACCTTGTGTACCACCTCTCTAATAGAGGTGAAATCCACCAATACAATGGGGCCCACATCTATTGGAGAAGTGGTACACAACATAAGATGGTATACAAATGTGGCATGACTAGCATTTTCGTAAAGGATAATTGTTAACATTAACTCCTCCCTTAAATATAGGAGATAGATTGCATTTTCTCTTTTTGTTGAAAAAAAGTGATAATATTATTGCAAAGGGGAATCAATACAAAATAAAAGGATAATGGTTAAAAGGATTAGATGAGCGTCTCTACACATAATAATGGTTATATTATTTTTTAACGAATACTACGTAAATTCTTTTAAAATAGTTATTTACACTAACACCCCTTGAGATTTCAATTTTTTTTTTTTTCACAAAATCCTACAAGGTTAAACGAACACCATATGAGGTTTTAATTAATTGTTTTCACCAAACCCCTTTGTGTCGTCCAAAGATTGATTATTTTAGATATAAAAAATTTCTCCAAATGATAAAGTTAGCCATTAAGATTAAATTGCACATACATTAATTGAAGTTAATTTTATCATTTTCATAAATTTTTTAATGCAATCATCAATTTTTGGACAAACAACCAACAAAAATGGGTTTTGTGAAAACAATTTGAAACCTCATGGGGTATTCGTGTAATTTCTGAAACCCCAAGAATTTTGTGAAAACAATGAAAACCTCAGGAAATATTAGTATAAATAACTCTTTTGAAAATGGAGAACATATCTTCAACTAAATTTTTTATTTAGCAAATAAAATTCAATAAAATTTTATCTAGAGAGAGTTCGCAATTTTGAAAAACCCATTTGGGGATAATATATAAGTAAATTTAGGTTTTAACCACAATTTTTTTTTTTCACTTTTGGAAAAAGCCAAAGCTTTTTCAAAAAAGACAGAAAAACCTCTCAACTTTCAAACCAAAGACATGCAAATGTAAAGGATTCTTTAGGAAATCCAAAAATAAATAAGGGCAATTTTGTCAATTTTGGCTTCTTTTAAAAATTTTCTCTCTCCTTTGGTCTTTTCCAAAGTCTCCCTAATATATACCGTTATATAAGAGAGGGCTTTCAGTAAACCACTATTGATAAATTACCAATTATACCCTTACTTAAATTACACTAAATAAAAAGAAGTTAATAAAAAGGGTAAAATAGTAATTACTTATTATTTTGAAAACAATAAATAAATTAAATTCTCTCTTTTTTGTTTTTTCTCCAACTACTCCCTCTTTTTATTCATTCTCAAAATTTTCCTTAATAAGACATGTTTACTAATAATGAATAAGGGTAAACAAAAATTGAAGTAAGCATGAATCGTAACAAGGAATCAGAGTTAGCATTCCAATTAAACGATTTATTAACTGTCAGGAATCATAATGAAAAATAAAATCAATTCTCATTAAAACCGTTTACTATTGTGAAAATCGGAATCAAAACCAATTTTATTACCAAAATGCCCTTATACAAAACAAATTTTATTTTATTCAACTACTTACAAAAGTTTTCAAATGAAAAAAAAATTGTGCTATTTAATAATGAACCAACTTTTTATAATCATAATAATAAATAGAATTTAATGTTAGTAAAAAAAAAAAATTTAGATTTAATTATTTACTTCCAATATATCTAAACATACAAATTTATAGAAATAAGTTAAAATTCTAATATTGCATGCAACATTCTGTAGCCAAAAAAAGAGAAAAAAGAAAAAAAAGGGAGGAATCATGTGACATAATGGGTGCACAACAGCTGTTATTATTGTGCCTAAAACAAAAGTTGGTGTTGTCCTTATATAAAGGAGTACCCAGGATGCCACAAGAAAAAATTGTGTTTGGCATGAAAAAATAGTTACACCCAGGATGCCACAAGAAACAAATAAAATCAAAAGACAATTACAAAAACAAACAAACAAACAAAAGAAAAAACGAAAGAAAAGGAAAGCTGCAGGCGATCAGGCGAGAGAGACCCTATACCTAAGAATCTTATCAATATAATTCTCATCAAGTGATCGATGGTGGCCTCAAAGAAAATATAAGGATTGTCAAGTGGAATGCTGAATCATGTGATCCTTGTGTTCTTTAATATTTATTTTGTTCGAATTGAAATCAACCATGTATTTTTTACTCGATCTACTTGATGCTTGAATATGTTTAGTCACTTTGAAAAACGAGGTAACCCATATGACCTATAACTAACATATATAAAGCCAAAAGCTAATTGGAAAGTTCAAAGCCAACTCTTTTGATGTGTATATACCATCTACAAGTTCAAAGCCATTGGTTGAATCCCAAAATGTGTGAATACGTACCTTGGTTCTTGACTTTAGTACACTCTTTACCAACTAAATTCTTTACATGCTCGAATCTAGATTGGTGACTGCGTGTTACTTGGCACATCGGAGGATTCAATTCCAATATAGATGGTGCTTTTGTGTCCCTCCAATAAGCTTAGTGGTCCTAATTTTGTATACAGAGTATACCAAAACAAAAAACAAGTGTACAATGTTTACTTGTTGCTATCGAAGTCCACAAGCTGAACCAAATCGTGCATGTTAATGTTAGTATTATGGTGCCGAGCTTTCCATTTTGCTCAATTAAAAAACTCTATGGCCTTCCATTGGCTCAGTTTCCATAGATTGAATATTTGAGTAGAATATGAGTTTGTTAAGCGATTTTGG